CTTTTTTTTTTTAAAAAAAAAAAAAGTAATAGCTCTTCAAGAACATAAAGTATTGTCAGGTCTCTACTGCAAATGTGGGTTTTTTTTAAAGTCCTACTTAGGCGTTAAATGTCTCTTTCTGTAGTACTGATTTTTTTACATTAGCAGTCTACTTCATTGTTAGTTTTCTTAAGACTTTAAACTTACCAGAAGAGTGGTAAAAAAGTAATGACATTCCAAAATTAAACTTCCAGTGTTTCCCAGCCAAGTCCTTCAGATGAAGCTCAGAAGGACTGCACCATTGGAATGGCTGGCATGGTCCTGTCTCTCCTTCAATCAACGTGGTTCCCACTGGACCTCTCTGCACATCAGGATGCCTTGATTTTGACTGGAAACTTGCTTGCAGGTAGAGCAGAGCTAAAAAAGTAGGATTATCGTGTTATTTTTACCAATGACATCAAGAGGCCCTTATCTCATCCTATTCTGATTGCACACAACAAAATACTTGCAAGATAGAGCAGAAGAAATAGAGGAGGAACTTCTTGCTCCTATGAGGTTTGAATCGATACTGCCTCCAAGTCGCAAATTTCCTCTTGTTGCCAAAGGGAATGTGCAGTACGCTTAGTACAGGTTGTGTACAAGGAATTAATGTGGTTTTTTGTTCTTGTTTAAAACTATGCACCTACTGCTAGTTTTGAAAATATAGGCTCTCTTTTTCTATTTGAATTCCTGTCCATATAGACATGATAACTATACATGCTTCTAAAATTTTCTGATGCTTAATTCCAAGTTTTTATCTTCTTTTTCTTTAAATGTGATTCCTATTGCAGCAAGTGCTCCCAAGTGCTTGAAGAATCCTTGGAGTGCTGAAGAAGATTCAAACCAAGGTGCTGCAAAGCAAGAGGAACCCTGGCCAGCTCTGGCAGATCGAACTCTTGTTACTTTAGTGGAACAGCTCTTTTCTCATCTGCTGAAGGTCATTAATATTTGTGCCCATGTAATGGATGATGTCGCTCCTGGCCTAGCAGTAAAGGTATGTATTAAAAATAAATAAAAAAAATGGTGTAACTTAGATACTGTTGTGATACAGACGTCTTCAAGGCTCTGCATTTTAGAGTTGATACACGTAACTATCTACTATCTTGATACTATGACTCCAGTTATGTGTAGGAAAGCAAGTAACATGAAAAAAACATGCATACTATTCTTCTGTGTAACATGTTTTTATGTAGTTCTGCAGTGTTTGTCATATTACCTTTAATTTCAAAGATCACCTTTTATTCCTGGTGACTTCACTCAAAACATTATTAATTCAAGAGAGGAGTGTATATAGTAAATGGAGTATTGGATCACATACTCTGGCAAATACCCATTGACTTTTTGGTTGATTGGCTGGCTGTAATGCACTGAGCTCTTTTTGGAGCTTAAAATAACTTATCTTTTGAATATCCTGCAAAATATTTTGAATTCTGAAACAGCTTATATGAGGTGCCTTTTGGGTTTGGGTTTTTGGTTTTGTTTTGTTTTGGTTTTTTTTGAGGCATCTGCAGTTTGAGACTGGTTTAGTGACTGTAAAGCAATGTTATTAGGATTAATGATTTCTTCATATTTTAAAAACGTGAAAATATTTTTTTTGGACATTCTTTTGTCTGAAATCAAAAGAAACTGTAGTCATTGAGCTCTGATTCCATCTCATTGGCTTATGCTGAAGTTGAGAAGGAAAGTAGGGAGTATATTAAACTTCCTCCACTCAGGAAATTCATGTACTGGACCTGAGGGTTGAGACATTTTATTTTTACTGACAGTTAAATAAAGAGGAGTTTAAACAAAAGACCAATATGCTTGTATTTGTGTAGAAGAAAAGCTACTTGTGCACACAAAATTAATAAAGCTTCTTTTCATTCTAGGCAGCGTTACCTTCTCTCACAAACCCTCCTTCTCTTAGTCCAATTCGGAGGAAGGGGAAGGAGAGGGAGCCTGTCGAACAGACGTCTGTGCCCATGAGCCCTAAAAAGGGTGGTGAAACGAGTCCAGGTAAGCACGCTTAGTCTTATTGACCCTCCCACCTACTGTCCCCACCTAAGTATGGTTATGGCATAGAGAGACAAAATAAAACCAAGTAATTTATTTCTGAAGTGTTAGTTCAAAAGGCTGGCACAACTACTGTCAGAAGTTCTTTTCAATTCTGCATGGCAGGAGAGGCAGCTGTGGGCAGGGGCTTCTTTACTCTTTTGTTTTTCATTAAAATTAACTGTACTTTTCAGAAGCAAGGTACTTCTGAATCCGTCTTCACTGTTTTTCTGAGTCTACTCAGCTGTTGACTAAAATCAGGAAGTAATTTTTGCATGTATTTTACTTAAAAGAAATTTGAAAGTTGCTTTGCAGCTTTTGGCAGGGTAGCTTATTTTGCTCTTGGAAACAAGATTCTGAACCTTGAAAGCTTTATTTTCTTAGTAGTGAATGAAGGAAATGAGTGTTAATTCTATTTTGTAAATTGTACTTGCACTTCAATAATAAGCCTCTGGGCTCATTATTTCGCTTAATCTCAGAGGACTGGTTTCTTGGAATGCTAGATTTCTAGTTGTACAGCACGTGTTTTTTCAGTTTAAAATATGCATATGGATTGAAAAATTCATGCTAATAATTCAAGTATGGTAAATTATGTTGAGTGTACGTGTTATGAGCACCTTAGAGTATGTTGTGCTAATCTATGATATCTTTTTAAGCTCCTAGGCAAACTGATGCTACTGGGCCTGTTCCAACAAGTAAATCGTCTTCAGTAGGAAGTTTTTATCATCTTCCATCATATCTTAAGTTATATGATGTCTTGAAAGCAACCCATGCTAATTATAAGGTACTGCATGATATCATTTGATTGAATTAGAATGTGGTTGGGCAATCACTTTGTTTTTCTTTTAAAAAAGAAAACTACTTTCTAGATACAAGTCTACTTGTATTGAGACTTGTTTGCCTGTATAAACAGTTTATCCACCAAAAAAAAAAAAAAATCCATAACCACCACCAATAAAAACAACCAAAGAACCCCTGATAGGCATTGTCACCCTATTGCTTGTTTCTCTGCTGTCACTAATGCCAGTACCAAATGACCCTTTGCCAACTTGTCAATGTCAGATGGATCCCAATGTCTGTTCTTTCCGCGGTTGTTCCAGGATGAGTAAGCTTTTTCCTCATTAGTCCTCAGGTAACAGAAGATGCATTCCCTAGGGGCTTGGTGATCTGATTTGTATGTTTCAGGAGGTGTATTCTTATTATACCTATTGTGTTTCTGAAAAATACATTATCCTTTCTCCATTACTTGTCAATATCCTACACCTTCACAGATGCTGTAAGTTCCTCAAGCTAGAAGATCTATTTCTTTTTCTTAGTCAAAATGCAGTCCTACCTTTCCAGCAATTCATAAGGAAGTCTAAGCTGTCAGTGGTGTTGACTGAACTATGCTGAAATTTTCGGCAAAAGATTATTTTATGTCAGTACCCACTTCTTTCTGTAATTTTTATCTCCTTGTCAAGTAATTGTTAAGAAAAAGTGTTTTTGACTTTTTGGGACCAGGTTACTTTGGATCTCCAGAACAGTAATGAAAAGTTTGGATGTTTCTTACGATCTGCCTTAGATGTTCTGTCTCAAATGTTGGAACTTGCTACTCTTCAAGACATTGGAAAGGTATAAGATTTGTGTGGTTTTTATTTTGTGATTAAGTTGTCCCATCTCTGTGTTGAGAGAGACTATAGTCTTAGAAGCATTGTGCTGCCGCAGTGTTGGGTAAAGTGCTAAAGCAGATTTTCTGGGTTAGGTTGCTGCTGTTGGAAACTGGAGTATTTTTTTACTGTTTAAATTTCATATGGAGATTTTTCTTTCTAGCTAAATCGTTTGCCTTCAGTCATTCTTATGTTGCTACTATATCAATATGTTTAAATATATTTGTTAAATGTCCAAAATGTCAGAAGGCATACTGCTCTCCCTCCTCTCCTGTGTCTTGAATTTTTTTTTCTCCTTAATTGTAGTGTTAGGTGTTGTCATATTTTAAGACTAGGAGGCAGATCTTGAATTTTTATTTCTTTGTGTACTTCCATGATTTCACTTAAATTAGTGAAGTTTTACTTTGGGCAATAGCACCAGGTTTTTTTTTCTGTTTTCATAGTAATGCTTTATATAATGAAGAAAAATGCAATTAGGTGCACTTGTTTTTCTGCTTTTCTAGTGTGTAGAAGAGATTTTGGGATACCTAAAATCATGTTTCAACAGAGAACCAACAATGGCAACAGTTTGTGTACAGCAGGTAAGGCAGTAATTTTTGGTGTGTTACTGGGTGTGGCTAACAATTGGATACTAAAACTGCCATTCTTTTTAAGGAACCAGTGTGAGGAAACTGTAGCCCAGGTGGAGCAGACAGAGCATGTTTTCTTTAATTTTCATGACTCGTTCTGAAACTTGATACCATCTGAATAATAAAGTTTCTTCTTAACTGGTTTCAATTCAAAGAACTATTTTAGCTAATGCTCAGAAAACAAGTTTGTTTCCTACCTTCTCCCAAGTGTGTTCTGTAGCCAGTTAACTACATCAAAAACCTGGAAAGCAAAGAACTGCCTTAGTGATGGATTTCTTGCGGGCTCCCAGTTAAAGGTTTGGGTTCAAGTCATAAAAGCTTAAGTTTGGTAGGAGGCAAGCTTCAGTAGACTATTTTGAGTTGTCACATGGAAATAGCTTCAGTTGCAAAAACAATCATAATCTTTTTGCGTGAGTTATGGATTGTTTCTTTTTTCTGTTTTCTTGTATTTGACTACATGATCCACAGTTTGCACTTTGATCTTTCCTCTTAAATCCTTTAGAAGGATGAGACTTTTTCCTGAAGTGTTAACTTTTTTTTTTCTCCTTTCGATTTTCTTCTCTAGTTACTGAAAACATTGTTTGGGACAAATCTGGCTTCTCAGTACGATGGCTTGTCTTCAAACCCCAACAAAGCTCAAGGCAAAGCTCTACGCTTAGGTTCTTCCAATTTGAGACCTGGTCTCTATCATTATTGTTTCATGGCACCATACACACATTTTACACAGGCCCTTGCTGATGCTAGTCTAAGGAACATGGTTCAGGCTGAGCAGGAACATGATGCTTCAGGGTAACTTTCTTCCCTTGTGATGTAATGTTAACTTGAACTAGAATCTCTTTTTAGTGTTTTTCATAGATGTAGGTATCATAGGGGAGCTGAGTAACTTGAAATTCCAGTATTATGTATTATTTATTTCTTATAGACTTCAGCAGAGTAATTTGTCTTGGTAATGAGAACCTGAATGCAACACTGTATCGGTTATCACTAATGTGTTTTCCAGATCAAAGCTAAATCATTAAAATGGATATCACTTGAGGGTTTTTAAAGCATAATAGTTTTACATGCTTGTATTCAAAACTATTTCATTAATTTGCTAATTATAGCAAACAGTCAGTAAAGGAAAGGCAGAAGGATGACTAAGCAGAGACACTAGAAATTCTTGCGCTACTAGATGTTTGTCCACAATCTATGTGATCTGATCAAAGTGTACTGTAGGTCGTCTCTGCTCTTTTGTTTTACTAAGATTCTTGAAGCAGTCAAGTAGATAAAGAAAAGTTGGCATTGGTAAGACAATATGCATCTAAGGAGAGTGTGTTTTGTCCCTCCATTTTTTAATGTGGTTTTTTTTGTGTGTTTTTTTAATGACAGATGGTTTGATGTGCTGCAAAAAGTTTCTACACAGCTGAAAACTAGCATTACCAGTGCAGCAAAACATCGTGCTGATAAGGTACTTGTATCTGTACTCATGAAACAGCTGTTACCTTAGATTTAAAACGTTTTTCCTCCTTTTAAAACGTAATTTGGTTTTGGAGACCTGCTCAGATATTAGATTACTTTAAAATCTCTCTATTACAGAATGCTATTCACAATCACATTCGTTTATTTGAACCCCTTGTCATAAAAGCATTGAAACAATATACTACAACAACATCGGTACAGCTGCAGAGACAAGTTCTAGACTTGCTTGCTCAACTTGTTCAGCTACGAGTAAACTACTGTCTTCTGGATTCAGATCAGGTTGGTACCTGACCGTTTTTGCAAATTTGTAATACAGAGATCTCGCTAGCAGGCTTAAAGTTTACAGCAAAAATACTTGCAACAATCCGTTCATTTTACTGTAGGTGAAAACAGAGACTTAGAGGAAGGTGAGACTCAGTTTCCCTACCAGCCACAGAGCGCTTCAGATTTCTGGTTTTCTATTGCATATAAATGTCTTTGAGCTGTGCAACAATTATTTAAGAACTGTTCAGCAGATTGGCTTTAGGAATAATATGATGTGGACGATACAGTCAGTGCTGTTAAACCTTCATTTGCAGGTAGAAATATCTTCTTTCTATATTGAGAGTATGGACATCTGTATGACCGATAGTGAGCATCATGGTTGACAACCATTATTTGATTTTAGTGGTGGGGAGAAGCTAGTGGCAAATACAGTAGTCTGTGTGGTTGTCCGTGTAAGCAGTAAATTTGTAACATAAAACAGATGTTTAAATATTGGATTTATAAACTAGTATGAGTTGCCATACTTAACTTTCCTGTAAGTTCATACAGAGAAATCTTTTCAATGCATGACTAGTTTGGATTTTATTTTGATTTAGAGCTATATTTTTGGTTGGTTCTTAACTACTTTACTGTAGTGCCTCAAATAGTGAGTTACATGAGTGAGAGAGCAAGTTGTACTTGCAAATATATAGATTGTAGATAAAACATGGCATAAGTTCATGCAAACCATAATCAGCTCTAACATCAAGATTCTCAAGATCTTCTATAACTGCAGAGGGAACATTTCATAACATAGTCTAATAAATTATAAGTGTAAATGATTTCCAGTGCCTGTCTTACCTTTCTCTCCTTCCAAAACACGCAGTTTTATAACTGTCAAAATTATTTCAAATGGGAATTAACGTCTCCGTATCTGTTGAACACTTTATTCTCTCTTTAGGTGTTTATTGGATTTGTGCTAAAGCAGTTTGAATACATTGAAGTAGGACAGTTCAGGTACGAAATTAGCAGATACTTTGAGCAGTGTGAATTTACAACTGTTTTGTTCTGAAGCATGTACTAATTAGCTTTGCTGGTTATTTCTACCTTATGAGAAAGGCAGAGTTACATTCTGGGCGATGTGCATGTTTATTCTATGGCTCCAGATGATTTAGGTTCCATGTGGCTAAAGAAGTCAGGAAGTAGCATGGAAAAAAAAAATCTTAAGCTGTGTTGTGCTGTTTTTCCATTTGGTATTGTAAAGCCATTCCTTTGGGATGCCTCCCAAAGCTATGCTTTCAGGAATCAGCACTTCATTGCTAGGATTCAGTTGCTGAAGGGAGAGCTACTTCTTCCTATTATGGATTTAGTGTGAATCTGTGAAACCCTGATCACTTGGTACATTTTGAGTAGTACCTAATAGATCATAAGCAGCGCAGTGAAATTTTTGTCAGCAATTTCTGTTTTTTTTCCTCACACTTGAATTTGTATGAAGAGATAAATGGTTTTTTTGCCCTGTAGTCTCCTACAGAAATACTCCAATGTATGTCATGTGCATTGGATAGTATGTTATAATATTAGTGACTGTGTAGTGGTCAAAACTTGAAAGAAATCCCATAGAAAAAAAAAATTGTAAAGAACAGATCAAAAAATTATAGAAACACTGTATGAAAGCAGAACTCATTCTTAAAAAAAGCCTTACTATAAAAAGTAATACTTCATTTTTACTGAAGAGTTGTGCAATTCAAACTTGACACTTTTTTTTTGTTTTCAGGGAGTCTGAAGCAATTATTCCTAATATCTTTTTTTTCCTGGTGTTGCTGTCTTATGAGCGGTATCATTCCAAACAGATAATTGGAATTCCTAAGATCATTCAGCTCTGTGACGGTATCATGGCCAGTGGGAGGAAAGCTGTTACACATGGTAATTTAAAAAAAAAAAAAGGCACCAACACTCAGTAATAGTTCAGCAATAAAACCAGTATTGAATACTAAGGTATAGAAAACTCTATCATACTACTTGTTCCAGAAGACACTAGCTTTTAAATTTTTAATACATGAAATAGGTCTCACCTAATTCCTTCAGGAAGTATATTGTACCCTGCTAACACTGCTACCCCATGTTTTGCATCGTACATAACAGCAACAAAGCTGTTTCAAGTAAAAGCAACAAAGCTTTTACTTGAAACTTCATTAGGTGATAAGTTCATAATATAACAGTACTTCAAAGTACTTTGATTTTAATTCTTAATCCCCTTTCCTTTCCCTCCACTTTCAGCTTTTAAGTAGAAGCATTTCTCATACTTTCTAGTGATTCTGCTGAGAAATACTTTAAAAAATATCTATTTTAGCTCTGACAATGAGCAAATATGTCCGTAATACTTTTTTTTTAAACTAGAAGTAAAAAGATAAACACCATTATGCATAAGCTTGTTTTTTGGGGTTTTTTTGGCTCTTTTAAGAGTGGGTAAAGCCTTTAATAATCTAAAGCCCAGTTTACTTTTAGTAGCTGAACTGTTAGAACAAGAAGCCACTGCTCAAGAGTGTCTTGTCTCATGCTAAAACAAAGAAACAAATCTCATTTCAGCAATACCAGCTCTGCAACCTATTGTTCATGATCTCTTTGTGTTGAGAGGAACGAATAAAGCCGATGCTGGAAAAGAGTTGGAAACACAAAAGGAGGTGGTAGTGTCAATGCTGCTGAGACTTATTCAGTACCATCAGGTAAGGGAGAAGGACGAAGTGTTCCTGTTTACAGTCTACAAGAGGGAAACCTATCTTTGCTAAAAATGTTCAGGCAACATTAATGATTTTTGATACAAAACTTGAACAGCTGGACTCTGTGTGTGATCTGTCCTTATAGAGTATGCAAAGATTTTTTTTCTGGACTGGGAAAATCAGCTTTGTTAGGGGAAAGCTAACAAAGCTTGGGCTGCATCAAGAGGAGCGTGGCCAGCAGGTCGAGGGAGGTGATTCTCCCCCTCTACTCTGCCCTCGTGAGACCTCACTTGGAGTATTGTGTCCAGTTCTGGAGTCCCCAACATAAGAAGGACATGGACCAGTTGGAGAGGGTCCAGAGGAGGGCCACGAAGATGATAAGAGGGCTGGAGCACCTTTCCTATGAGGACAGGCTGAAAGAGTTGGGGCTGTTCAGCCTGGAGAAGAGGAGGCTCCGGGGTGACCTTATAGCGGTCTTCCAGTACCTCAAGGGGGCCTACAAGAAAGATGGGGAGAGGCTGTTCAGGAGGGCCAGTTGTGATAGGACAAGGGGTAATGGTTTTAAAATAGAGGGAGGTAGGTTCAGGTTGGATATTAGGAAAAAATTTTTTACCATGAGAGTGGTAGAACACTGGAACAGGTTGCCCAGAGAGGTGGTGGATGCTCCATCCCTGGAGACGTTCAAGGCCAGGTTGGACGAGGCCCTGAGCAACCTGATCTAGTTGGAGATATCCCTGTTCCTTGCAGGGGATTGGACTAGATGACCTTTGAAGGTCCCTTCCAGCCCTAACCATTCTATGATTCTATGATTCTAAGCTGCTGCACTACAGATCAGTGTTTCAGGTCAAATATCATGTCTGTGGGATTTTGTAGTCAAACCTAGATAACAAAGCACTGAAAAGCTTCAGTTAAGATCATGATCTTGGTTGTGTTGCAGATTGAATAAACAGGAGGGTAGCAGAAGAGTTTTATTAAATTGGGATTCAAGGAACTTAGAAGAATGGGAGTGAAAGTGGGAGAGGACAGGATTAAAAGTAGGAAACGTTGCATAGAGATGATTTGGGCATTGCTGTACAATAGCAATATCTTCAATAACATTTAAAAATATTAATTACTTGAATAACCTAATGAAACTGGTAGTTAGATGGTTGTTAGCACTTACTACTTTGCCCCAGACTTCATGGGTCTGGAAAACATGATTCTGCCCCGTAGGAGTATAAAAATTACTTTCTGCAATACACTTTGTTTAAAAGAAAGACATAAAAATGATTTTAAGAGAAGTGACATAGTTAACATGGAATCATACAGCTTATTCAGGTGTTTAACAAACTTAATGTGTTTTTCCTTTCATCCTGTGAAAATGCAGTTCTAGTGTATGCTAATGTTAGCAATGTATTTTCTGAGAATAGATGGGGAAAAAAAGCAGTACATCTTGTCAAAATAATTTTCTAGAACTGCATGTTCAGATTGGGATAATTTTGTGTATCCACATTTTCTTTTGAATTTGTAGTTTTATAATCCTAAAATGACTAAGATAACTATATTAAATGACACTCTGCAGACACATGATGTGAAATAATGAATAACTTTGTTACATAAGGTACTGCAATTGCTAGCAGATCCCCTTCTGACACAATTAACCTATTGAAGACCACCCATGCACTGCTCTTCCCACACCATCCCAACTGGAGTTCTTACTCTGTCCTGTTCTGCTTGTGCAGTACGTATAGACTAACCCCTGGGCAGTTCTGTTGTTCCCTGTCTGTGGCTGGGATGTTCTGCAGTGGTGTCCCTGTGATTTGAGAGGCTCCAGGGTGCTTCAGTCATTCAGTCCAGAATCGCTACCTCCTCTCTCATGAGAAAGCCTTTTGGAAAGAAAGTCATCTGGTGATCTCTTGTTTTTTTTTTTTTAATTGGCTGCGTATCTGAATCTGAACTACTTGAATTTCTCTTACAAATGTTCCATCTAACTAGTTTTCTGAACCAGATTCTTTTGTCCCACTTTCCAGTCTATATATTGACATTTCTGCTTGCTCTGTCTTTGGCCTGTCTATCCTTGAAAGTGTGATCTCCATAGCCCTCAAACCAGTAATACATCCAGCTACTAGAAGTGATCCTTGCTGTTGGTGTGCTCCATTATATGCTGTCTTATAAACTTTTCTATGAAAGTGATATATCTCAGGTTAATGAGCTCCGTAAAAATGTCTGTTCTATTTTCTGACCAAATTTAAACTGTATTTAAGCTTGAGCAAAGAAAAAGCTACATGTGGGAAATTGCTCTCTTCCTTCTTCCCCTTTGTTGAGTATGCAGTGTGGCATTTAGATATAGTATCCTTTGTTTGAGTAGTCTTTTGACAAATGCCATTTAAAAAGGACCAAGAGAGCTTTTTTTCCCCTAGTTTGTAAAAGTAATGGGAAAATTCTTAATAATAATAAAAAAGGGTCATAATTAAGAAGCTTTTAGCCTGAAAGTGATGTTTTAAAAACATTGTATGATTTCTTATGTGGATTTTATTTTCTTTTTGCTTTTTGGTAGATGGATGAAAATGTAAATATTTTTCCCATTACAGGATTAGTTAAACTTTTCCTGTTAGTGTGGGTGTTTACTTACATTCTTTTGGACTTTTCCTCAGGTGCTAGAAATGTTCATCTTAGTATTGCAACAGTGTCATAAAGAAAATGAAGACAAATGGAAGAGACTGTCCCGACAAATCGCTGACATTATTCTCCCAATGCTTGCAAAACAACAGGTTGTTGCATGAATTTTTTTATTCTATAAACATCTAAAAGAATTGTTAGAATGTATGCATCAATGATGACTTTGGGTATTGTGACTTTTTTAATTATTTCTTTTTTTAATACAAAGGCAGATTTTCTGGAACGTGTGGTTGCCATATCTGGAAAAACAATTACTGCAGAGTAAACTAAGTCTTTGAAATGATGAAGGTCATATTTCAGTGCATGAAGTATGTGCAGTGTCTTCAAGGCTGTTTCCAGATGAAGCTCATTCTACTTCTCTTACATGATTATATTAGAGCACTTAAAGATTATATTAGAGCATCATTAAATGATGTGAAGAATCTCCTATTTAGAGAGTGTCAAAATTGTTTTTTTGTAACTGCAGTGCATCTAGTTGCATTTTTTTCATAGTGAGAGGAATGAAAAGACATGGTCCGAAACTGCATTAATAAATCACAAAATCATGGAATAGTTGAGATTGAAATGGACCTCTAGGTATTGTCTTCTCCTCAAAGCAGAGTCTACTGGAGAAGGTTATTTAGGAGTGTGTCCAGTCAAGTTTTGACAGTCTTCAAGGATGTAGCCTCCATAACCTTTCTGGGCAACCTCTTCCAGTGTCTGAGCATCCTTAGAGGTGGAAAATAAGTAAATAAAAACACCCTGTATTTAAATTGAATTTCGTGTATTTCAGCTTGTGCCCATTAAGTCTCATCCTGGCACTGGATATCACTGAAAAGATTCCTGCACTCTCTTCTGTACTTGTCATCTCCTCCCCCTGTTTCTTGTGGTCAGATACTTGTACACGTTAAGATCCCCGAGCCTTCTCTAGGCTGAACAATCTCAGCTGCCCCTTGCATGACAGATTCTCCAAGCCTCTAACCATCTGTGTGGCTTTATGCTGGACTCCCTCCATTGTGTGCATGTCTCTCTTTCTAGACTAAACATTGGGGATGGAGAGTAGGCCCTTTATATCTGGGAAGAAAAGATGACTTGTTTCAGGAGAAAGATTTTCAGTGCAGCTCCATATGCAACGGAGGACTTGTATTCGATACAGCTTTTGTGGAATTAGAAACACCTACTTCAAGGCTAAAAAGTAAAAGTAGTGAAATTGTGCCTGTAATGTTCTTTATCCATGATGGCAGATCCCCACTCCCTTGAGGAGATCTCATGGTTGGGGCGAGTGGGCAATTATTGCAGATCAGACAACAGTTTTTGAGCAAAGCTAAAATGCTGGCAAATTGAAATGGCTGTTATTTTGTGTGGACGTGCTCAACTGTCAAATTGTTTAAGCAAGATAGGGTCATCCAGATTCCAAGTCTAGTCCTTTGCTTTTTGCAATTGATTGTTTTATAATTTATCTAAAAAATTGATCAAGTAAAGTGTCCTACCTCTGTTGCTGCAGTGTAATACCATTGTAGTTGTTCACTTTTCTGATGATTAGGAATTTTTTTTCTCCTAGTTACCTGCTTAAGTTTGCTCACGACCAGCATTGCTTTCTATAAATATGCCTGGTAGGATGTGCAGGGTGGAGAAAAGTTTTTATGTTTTATGACAAGTCAGTCTTCTGGTCTCATTCTCTGAATATGACACATTTCTCCTATTGGTGGTGGTATGCATATTGAACTTCATATAATAGATTTTTGTCTGTATTCTCAAAACTCCTCTGTAGGAAGGCCTGGAATGAAACTTTAATTTACCTTTCATAGCTTTTGCTTGCTCTGAATTTTGTACTGTAAAGGACAGCTTTATTACACACAGATTGTCTTGAAATGTTTAAAAAATGAAATAGTAGTTTTATATTGCAGTTACCTTTAGTGGATAGCTACAAATCAGTTTTGTGGTTTTCTTTTACAGATGCATATTGACTCTCATGATGCTCTGGGAGTATTGAACACTTTGTTTGAAATTTTGGCTCCTTCATCCCTTCGCCCTGTAGACATGCTTTTAAGGAGTATGTTTGTTACTCCTAAAACAATGGTAAGCAATTCTTTCCAGAGAACAGAAAATCTGGTGTCTTTAAAAACAAGAAAAGCTTGTGTTTCTCTCTCTTAATTTGCAATGTGCTGTTAAACTACCTGCAGCAGGTTTTAGGAAAGAATTGGATAGGGCTAATATGATTTACCAGCTGGGAGCACTTTGTACAGGAACATTCCACTTATGGATTAAATAGAATCATAGAATTCTGTGATTCTATGGATTACTTGCCTTCATTTTGTATTTTGAGGATCAGAAGTGTAGAGACACATACTGTTACAATAAATTCTAGAATGCAATTCAATAGGTAAATCACATTTTTTTTAATTCAAGTATTAGTACTATTTTTATAGTTGAGGGATTGTTTAACAGAGTGAATATAAGCTTGACAGTTACCACAAGAACAGCATTTTGAAATACCTGAACATAAATTATTTCCTGCTTGCTCCATTCTCAAAAGGGTCTAATTTTATACAAAAGTTAAAGAAAATACTAATTTTTTTGAATACATTGCAAAGTTGTGTTGTTCAACTTCAGAAGTATTCCATCTTCTGCGTTTTTGTGTTTGTTTTAGGCATCAGTGAGTACTGTCCAGCTATGGATTTCTGGGATTTTAGCTATACTAAGAGTTCTGATTTCACAGTCAACAGAAGACATCGTTCTATCCCGTATACAAGAGCTTTCCTTCTCACCATATTTGATTTCGTGTCAAGCAATTAACAGGCTGAGAAGTGGAGAAAATAACATATCCGTACCAGAGGATCGCACTGAGGTTAAACAGGCTAAATATCTACCTGAAGAGACATTTTCTAGGTAAGTTGTCTTTTGAATAACTTAGGGGAAAGATTAAGATTTCTGAGAAATTGTGCAATATGTACACATGTATAGAACTGTTCTCTGGTAGGAATAAAGTCTGTTAATAAGTCGGTATGGGAAGAATGTGTGTGGAGAAAGCAGTAATGAGATGGACGGTAGAGGGAGGAGATGAGCAGTTTGTAGTAGGGGCTTTGAGCTGTTCTGGTACCTCTTCTTGAGTCAAGTGAAGAACCTAATGGAGGTGTTAAAATGGGTGAATCCTGGACTTGTTACAATCAGTTCTGAAAACTTAACTGGTTAACCCTTTCCTTCCTCCTTGTGTGGGGACTGAAATATGAGTCGTGCCCTTGTGGTAGGTTGATCCTGGCTGGACACCAGGTGCCCACCAAAACTACTCTATCACTCCCCTCCTTAGCTGGACAGGGGAGAGAAAGTATAACAAAAGGCTTGTTGGTCATAATAAGGACAGGGAGAGATCACTCACCAATTACTGTCACGGGCAAAACAGACTCAACTTGGGGAAATTCGTTTAATTTATTACCAATCAAATCAGAGTAGGATAATGAGAAATAAAAACGAATCTTAAAAACACCTTCCCCTCACCCCTCCCTTCTTCCTGGGCTCAACTTCACTCCTGATTTTCTCAGCCTTCTCCCCCCGAGCAGTGCAATGGGACATGGAATGGGAGTTGCAGTCAGTTCATCACATGCTGTCTCTGCTGCTCTTCCCCTGCTCCAGTGTGGGGTCCCTCCTGTAAAAGACAGTTCTCTATGAACTTCTCCAAGGCAAGTCCTTCCCACAGGCTGCAGTTCTTCATGAATGGCTCCAGCGTGGGTACCTCCCAAGGGGTGCAGTCCTTGAGAAACGGACTGCTCCAGTGTGAGTTGCCCACGGAGTCACAAGTCCTGCCAGCAAATCTGCTCCAGCAGGGGCTCCTCTCTCCACAGGTCCTTCCAGGAGCCTGCTCCGGCACAGGCTTCCCATGGGGTCACAGCCTCCTTTGGGTATCCACCTGCTCTGCCATGGGGTCCTCCAGGGACTGCAGGTGGATCTCTGCTCCACCATGGACCTTGATGGGTTGCAAGGGGACAGCCTGCCTTACCATGGTCCTCACCAAGGGCTGCAGGAGAATCTCTGCTCGGGTGCCTGGAGCTCCTCCTCCCCTTCCTTCTTCACTGGCCTTGGTGTCTGCAGAGTTGTTTGTTTCACATATTTTCACTCCTCTCTCCAACTGCAATTGCTGTTGTGCAGGAACTTTTTCCCCTTCTTAACTATGTTATCACAGAGGTGCTACCACAGTCACTGGTTGGCTTGGCCTTGGTTAACAGTGGGTCCATCTTTGAGCCAGCTGACATTGGCTCCATTGGTCATAGGAGAGTCTTCTAACAGCTTCTCACGGAAGTCACCT